TCAACACAAATGGCCAAATAGCATGAATCAAGAGGGAAATGCAAATAAAAAACACAACGAGGTACCAATTCACTTTTACCAAGATAGCTAAAATAAAAAAGGAATGGAGTATTGATACATGCTACAGCATGGAAAAACTCTCAAAATATGATGCTATGTAAAGGAAGTCTGACACAAAAGATCATACACATACACTGGACAATTCCATTGATAAGAAATATACTGAACAGGTAATGTCACAGAATGATAAAGTAGATTTACGACTGTCAGGGGTAATGAGAAGTCAAAATAAGCAGAAGATTATGCATATGGTATTCTTTTGTAGCTGAACAGAAGCAATGGATATACAATACTGTCAATATACTAACTGCTTCTGAACTGTACTCTTTAAAATGGTTAGATTTAAATGGTCAGCCAATAATGGCATGTGCCTGTAATCCTAGCATCTTGGGAAGCTGAGGCAGGAGGATCACAAGTTCTAGTCCATCCTGGGCAGCTCAGCAACCTAGACCCTGTCTCAAAATAAAAAGTAACTTTTTTTTTTTGCAAACGTCCCATGTTCAACTTCCAGTACCATAAATAAAAGGTTAGTTTCATGTTACAGGAATTTAATCTAAATAAAAATGCTGTTTATATGATTCAGTCTATGATAAAAACATATCTTAAAGTTCAGCCAGTTTAAAAGAACTGAAATCATTGGGAGGATATTCAATTACAGCAAAATTAAACTAGAAAATGATAATAGAAAAATAACTGGAAACTCTTCAAACAGAAACTAGACAACACGTTTCTAAATAATCATGAGTCAGAGGTAATTATAGATGAAAAATATTACAACATTTAACCAAATGAAAATGCAGTATATTGAAATTTATAAAGAGTACTGAGAGAAAAATTAATAGTAGTAACTGCATGAAAAAGTCTTAAATCAGTTCACCTAAACTCCCACCCTAAATCAGAAGAGAAGAAAACAGGAAATAATAAAGAGGAGAAATCAATGAAACACAGAGACAAAATGCAATGAAATGCAGAGAAAAGCAGACACAAATCAACAAAGCAAAAATCTGATTCTCTGGAAGCTCAATAAAATTGACAGAGGAAGAGGGAAAGAAAGAGGAAGGGGTAAGGAGATGAGGCAAAGAAGCAAGAGGGAAAGGTGGAGGACAGAGAAAAAGAGAGATCATCAATATCAGGCATTAAACAGAGTTCTGTCTACAGACCTTGAAGGCATTAAAAGACAGTAGAGAGCCATGAATAAAAATTGAATAATATGAACACATCAACACATAAAAGTATGACAACTTAGTCCAGATTAATTCCCCTCATCATAAACTACCACAACTCATCCACTACTAAGTACATAATTTGACCAGCTTTATAACTATTAAGAAAACTGAATTTGAAAATTATGACAAAAAAAATCTTAAAGCCTAGATGCATTGGAGAGTTCTACAAAAACGTTTTAAAAAACAGACACTTATTGTGCACAATCTCTTGTATAAAGGGGAACATGCAGAAATACATCCTTATCTTCTTGATGAGCAGGGAGGAAAGCGGAGGGGCAAGAAGAGGGAAAAAAAATTAAAGACCGGTATTCCTCATGTGTGTAAGAAAAAAGGATGAACAAAGATGCAAACTCAACAGAACAGGTTTATCAGAAATAAACCTTAGAGGGACTGCTGGTGTGAGATCAAGTATAGGGTTGAGAGAGGAGGTTGGGAGAGGGCTCAGAAAGGGAGCTGGACTGGGTTGGGATGGCCTTCTTCAAGTGGGCAGCCTGTGTTCTGATGGTAAGGGGAGTCTGAGGAAGCATAACTGACCTTCAGGCAAGCAGCCTGTGTTACTGCCCATGGGGAGATTGGGCAGCTGATCAATATGCAGGCAGCTTGTGAGATCCAGCAAACTGAAACTTTAGAACCATGGGATCTAAGGGGTATTTCAAATGCTACCTCGGTCTCCAGGTGCTGGTCTGCTTCTTTCAATGTATATAAATGAAAAAAAACAAAACAAAACAAAAAAAAACACCTAAAATAGTAGGAATAGGACTCAACAATCAACAATATGTAAAGATAATTATAGATCAGTATAGACCATAAGCAATTTCCTTATTATTCCAGGGATGTAAGACTAGCTCAACAGTAGAAAATCAACCAATGTAATCCACCATATTAACAGATTGAAGAAAAATCACATTTGTACAACTGATTCAGAAAAAGCATTTAACAAAATTTAATACACATTTATTATTTTTAAAAACCTAAGAAATATATTGGGGCCAGGGATTTAGCTGAGTGGTGTCGCAGCCTGCCTTGCAAGCACCAGGTCCCTGAGTTCAACCCCTGGAACAAAAAAAAAACCCTAAGAAATATAAAAATAGAGGAAAACTTTTAAATTTGGGGGAGGGTGATTGAATCCACTGCCTTTACACTGAGCTATATACCTCCCTCCCTCCCTCCCTATCTTACCTTATTTATTTTTTATTTTGACGCAGGGTCTTGCTAAGTGCCCAGGCTGTCTTAGATTTGTGATCCTTCTGCTTCAACCTCCCAGAATGCTGGGATTACAAGTATGAATCTCCACACCTGACTACAACTTTTAACATGATAAAGAGTTATCTATAAAATCCTGCAACTAATATTACACTTACAGGTGGAAAACTAAATGCTATCCCCCTAACAATGAAACACTAGCATGCCCTTCTCAGAGCTGTTCCTCAATGAAGTGTGATAAATTCTAGCCAATGCAATGCATCAAGAAAAATTTAAAAACATGCAGATCAGAATGAGACAAATAAAAACTGTTTCTATTTGTACGTGACATAACTGTTAGCATAGAATATCCCAAGGAATCCTAAAATAATAATAATAATAATAAGACCAACTCTTCTAGAACTAAGTTCAGCAATATCACAGAATTTAAAACAAATATACAAAACTCAGTTGTATTTCTGTATCTTGATAATTATGTGAACACCAAAATTAGAAATAGAATACCATTTGCAGCACCTCTAAAATGGGATTATTTACTGTTATTCTATATAAAATAGTTTAGATGCCCTTTGGATAGTGGCAAAATGGTAATGTGAGAGCACAGCGCTTTAAAATTTTAAATTGAGCCAACAATGAAGCTCACAACTATTTTGATTAAGCACTCAACTACTTGATTGTTGAATGTTTTAAATCTATTTTACTGTAGTTTTAAATTTTAAAACAAGATTTCAAAAGCTACTATTATGTAAAACCATAGTCTATTGTAAAAAAAATATAAATCTGATTTAGACTCATGAGTAAATTTTCCAATTCCATGCTAATTCTTTGAAGATAAATCACTGACTATAATAGTTCGTCTTGTGTTCCACTGTTTTTTTAGTGCTGTATGACTTCTAAAATATGATATTCAGTGCCATTCTTAATGCTTTATCATTGGGACTAAAGAATATTATTCCACTTACCATATGCAGATACAACCTATTTTTAGGCATATGAAGTCACAGAATCGAGGGGGGCGTTAGTGGGAATTGCACTCAGGGCCTTGGACATGCTAGCCAAGAGCTCTACCAGTGAACCATACCACATCTACAACCCAAATTATGGAAATTTGAGAGAGATATTTCCGACGAAGCAAGCAGCTTTTATAAATTATGCTTGGATTTAAGATCTCCATACTGTTTAGTATAAACAAAGCTTTATGGGGGTTTTGTCTTTTTGAGATAGCATCTCAATTAGCCCAAGCTAAGCCTCGTGATCCTTTTGCCTCAGCCTCCTCAGTGTCGAGCTTATAGGCATGCTACACTATGCCCAACTCTTCTTTCAGATATATTTGTCTCAAATTGAAACGTCTAAAAATGTCTGGAGATGCCTGATAATTCTAGCTAATATAGTTCCCTTCTCTGTAACTCTCCACTTAACTTAGATCAGGTGATGCCTACAAATTCTGAAAACAGGTTCCCATTTCACTCAGAATAAAAAGCAAAAACTTTACAATAACAACCAAGATGGTGATACTGATAAGGCAACAAACCCCTTCTATTTCATTACCTCTCTAACCTCAGGTTCTTCCATTCTCCCTGCCGATTCATTCTATTTCAGCCATGCCATGCTCTATCTATACATGAAGAACATTCTGATTTGGCGGCTTTGTACAGGCTAGTCTTTTTCCCTGGAACATAGATCCCCTAGATTACTGTGTGGCTAAACCCTCTACCTAATCCAGAATTTTGCAACTATATCACATTCTCATTTAAGTCTATACCAGGACCTACCTACTTACAATGATAAAGCCCCTCATGTCAAATATCTAAACTTATTCTCTTTATTCTAATATTAGGAACTCATCATCCTCTAACATATATCATTTACACACTTACATATGTATTGTTTTTCATCTCTTAAACTCTCAACCCAAGCAAGGGCAAAGACTTGCCTAGTAATGCATTTCAAAAGACTGAAACAACACTGGGCAAACAGTAGGTGCTCATAAAGATTTATGGATTAATTGGAATAAACAATGAATAAAATAAACCTATAAACATGTGCCAATTTTAATTTAAATCTCAGCAATGCATTGAAAAATGAGCTTTGTTACAAAGAAAATGAATTTTCACAAACCTTAATTTCTACATATGTACAGTTCCCTTGTCTACAGTGTCCCTCATTTTCCTCACTTTTTTCATATCATTTGCCAGACAAATTCCAACTTAACTTCCAAAAGTAAAAGTAGGTCTTCCAAAAAGTCATCCTTGTTCTCTTTAAACCTGGGTTAGATGATCCTCTCCATGTACCTCTGTTAATTTTCCCCCATACTCTTTTCAAATATATTACAATGACTATTCATGTATCTGCTCCTAAGACCAAAACAGCTCCTTGATAGTGGAACCCCTTTCCTTTTCTTTGTCTTTCTTTCACTGACAAAGAACTCACAATAGGTAACCCAAACAGGGAAGCAACCATAAATATTAAAAATCTACCAAACTCAATTAATGATAGATCGCAGAAATTTACCTGCTACTTGCTTCCTTAGTTTTTCAATTTCTTCTTTTAAGTTTTTTATTTCTAAATCTTTGCTTGCTGTTAGTGGACCATCAACAGTTGAATGCTGTAGAGCTTGGACAGTCTGTGTTGATTCTTTAAAAAAAAAATAAGAGAAAGAATGAAAAAATATTGACATGCTTGAAAAATTTTGAATATGTATTAATATATTTCTTTTAGAAAAATCTTTATATACTTCAATAGACCAGAACACCTATCCTGACAAAGAGCATGTGAACACATTTAAAACTGTCATAAATATTCCACTGCATGATTTTAAAATTTATTATAATCATAAAAAAGCAATACACAAATGAATCTGCCTTCTAATAGGTGAGAGTTTTGGTGTTAAGTACTGTTTTGATACTCTGTTATTGAATCAACTACTCAGTCACATTTGTCCCAGCAAAGAGCATTATCATGTAATAATTCAAGAGTTGCATACAAGGAATTAAGTCTGATGTACAAAGGAGGACATGCCATTACGTAATACACACAAGTCCTAGCCTTACAGGTTGAGGCCTGTCTATAGGTGACACTGGATCCTCAATTTAATTAAAATAGCTAAAATAGATATATTAATTTATCTTGCAGTTGGTTTTTGGTTTATTTTGTTTTGGGTAGTACTAGGGATTGAACCCAAGGAGCACTGAGTTACATCCCCAGCCTGTTTTTAATTTTTTAAAACAAAGCCTCACTAAGTTGTCCTGGTTAGACTCGAACTCACAATCCTTGGAAGGCTACCTGGCCTTCCAAGTTGCTGGAGCTACAGGCCTTGCCTATAGTTACATGAAAAGATCAAAGATATTAAAGAAACACTAATTGTATTTGAAGCTTATACTCAGGTATCACCAAAAGATATGAAAAAAAACCCAAAAAACTTCAACACCATTTTATGGCAGACTGGTGAGGATCGCCCAGCTGCTCGAGGAGCTTGCCAGCGCCCCGGGCCTTTTTCAGAATAGACCAGAGAGGAATGCCCAGCCACGCAGGTACCTCTGCAGCATCCCCTCTGCCCCCATGCTCTTGAGCCTCCTGGTTGTGCCAGTACCTGGATCCACACTGCAGAGGCACAGGTGGTCATAAAGGCCATTTTACTGAGCTCCAGAAGATAGAATGGAAATGAACAACTGCAATAAAGGCACATCAGACCTCTGTAGTTGGTAATTGGAGTGATCACCACCTCCAATCAGAACTGGAACTATCTTCAGGGGAAAGGCAGCAGGGACCTGTAGTAGAACCTGGAAGAGTTCAACCCTACAGGAGGTCAGGGAGCAGAACTTGGGCCTTGCAGCCAGAATTCAGCCTGAATCTCAGGGGTCTGCCATTGGCTAGCTGAGACTAAATGACTTACTTCTGTACAATGCTGCCCACATTGTCTATTGTGACAGCAGAGACATACCCTGAAAGAGGCTCTTCAAATTATTATTCTTTCTTTTCCTCATAATTTTAATTTTTACTTTTCAATTTTTATTTTTTCCCATTCTGCAAATTCTTCCTTTTTTTCTTTCTTCTTTTCCCCACTCAATCTCTTGCTCCCACATGTTATTCTTCAGCTCCCTTTTTGTTCCTGTTCCTGCCCTAATTCAGATTTCTTCTTTCTTTTCTTCTCTCTTTTTCCTTCACTCGATTGTCATTAGTTTCAAAGGAAACTGAGTACAATTTATAGATTCCCTATTACAATTACGTTGTTCTACTCTTATCTTTGTTCTTGCACTCTGTCTCTCCCTCTTGTCTTCAATAGTTTCCTGGAGTTTGTGTGATCACCCTGTGTCCTCTGGCTTCACTTGAAACCTTCTCCTATTATTCTACCTATCTATTCCTCTCCTCCTACCTCCTTCTAAGTCCTCATCCTGAAGGGTAAAGTTGCAATATTGAGTTTATTCACTATAAACATATTTTAGGCTGGTCCTCGATTTTGATTTAATTCGCATGGTTTAAAGGTGAAAGATTAATAAATACCACAAATGGTCAATTTCTAAGCTATGCTTGATGTACTGTGTTGCTGACTGTATCAATTAGACTAAGGCGTTGTGATTGATTTAATGAGTTGTCCTTTCTGATATTATGAAAATGGGAGTGACTATGAATCATTAGAGACTCAAAACCTAAAGAGGATCTATATCAAGAAGATCAAGTACTAACCTAAAAATTAAACCAAGGACAGCCCAACAACAAAAATAAAAATGAGAAAACACTTAAGCAAAGCACAAAGACAGACTTCCAGTTCACCAATGGCAAATTCTAGGTGAGACACGTGGAAAAGTCTGATACTCAACCACCAGGACACCCTGAACTCACAGCACAGGAAGTAACAAAACAGATCAATAAGGCTCTAGAAAAATTCAAAACAGAAATAATTTCACAGATAACCACAGAGATAATGAGCACAATGAAAGACATGATTAGAGACTCTAGAACAGAAACTGACCCCCCCCCAAAAAAATAGATGAGCTCAGGATAGAAGCCATGAATTCCCAGCAAAGGAAAGAAATGGAAAGCATGAATGCCCAACATAAGAAAGAAATGGTATCCATGAAACAGATTCAGAGATATCCAGGAGATTAAAAACTCTACAGAAAGCATTCACAGCAGGATAAATGAATGTGAAGATAGAATTCAGATATGGAAGATAGGATTGCAGTCAGTGACTGAAAAGACAGATCTCTTAAAAACAGTAAGAGATCATGACAAATTGATCCAACAACTCCTAGATGATGCAAAGAAGAGTAACATAAGACTGATAGTAATCCATGAAGTAGCAGGAGAAAATACATGACTTCAAAAAGCTGTTCACATAATTAATGACAGAAAACTTCCCAAACAGAGGGGAAGAAATTGACATACAGATAAGTGAGACATATAGGACTCCAACTAACCATGATTAAAAAAACAATCTACACCTAGACATATAATAGTCAAGATGCGAGAAACACAACATAAGAACAAAATACTACAAGCAGTAAGAAAAAAAAAAGAAACAAATCACATGCAAAGGAAAGTCCATCAGAATCACAGCAGACTTCAACACAAACACTCAGGTCAAAGAGAGCCTAGAGTGACATATTTGAAGTCCTAAGAGAAAACATTCTCCAACCTAGACTGATGAATCTTGCAAAACTCTCTTTTAAAATGAATGGGGAAATAAGATACTTCCATGACAAAGGAACACCTGAGAAACTTCATGAATACCAAACCAGCACTAGAAAGAATTCTAAACAATATCCTAGAAAAAGACAATGAAGGTGACATCACCAATTAGTCAAGGAAAGAAACTAAAGAAAGAGGGGGAAAATAAAAAAGAGCCAACAACGGGACAATAATATGACAACAAGTTAATACATGTCAGTTATAACCATCAATGTCAACTGCCTCAAATCAACAATCAAAAGAAAAAGACTGGCAGAATGGATTAGGAAGCAAAATCCAACAATATGTTGTATACAAGAAACACAACTAGTTCAAAAGAAATTCAGAGACTGAAAGTAAAAGGATGGAAAACAGGTCTCCATGCAACAGGAGCCCAGAAAAAAGCAGTGGTAGCTATCTTATTCACAAAGTAAATTTCAAACAAAAACTTATTAAGAGAGACAAAAAGGCCACTACATCCGTCTAAATGGAACAATCCAAGAGAAGAGATGACAATCATAAATATATATGCACCAAATATTAATGTCCCCAACTATATGAAAAAAATATTAAGGGACAAGAAAAACCAAATCAGCACTAATACAACTGTAGTGGGGGACCTAAATTCCCCACTATTACAAATAGATCATCTAGACAAAAAAATCAACAATGAAATACTAGAACTGAAACAAGCTTTTGAGCAAAGGGACTTAATAGATGTCTGCAGAGTGTTCCAGCCCAGAAAATCAGGATATACATTCTTTTCGACCACACATGGGTCATTCTCCAAAAGAGACCACATACTAGCTCATAGAACACATTTAAATAAATGCAAAGGAATTGAAGTTATCCAATAGTGCAATTAATCTGGAGATCAATAGCATAAGAAACTGTAAGAACTTCACAAACAAATGAAAATTGAACAATACTCTCCTGAACAATCAATGGGTCACAGAGGAAATTAAAGAAGAAATTAGTCAGTTTTCACAAATAAATGATAATGCCAATACAATATACAGGAATGCATGGGACACAATGAAAGCAGTTCTACGTAGAAAATTCATAGCAGTGAATGCCCACACTGGGAAAAGAGTGAGCTCAAATAAACAATCTAATGATGAATCTTAAGACTCCTAGAAAAAGAGCATGAAAAACCCAAAGTTTATATAAGGGAAGAATTTATAAAGATTAGAGCAGAAATCAATGCAATGGAAATTAAGAGAAGACAAAAAAATCAATGAATTGAAGAGTTGGTTTTTCAAAAGAATAAATAAAGTCAATAAACCCTTAGCCAACCTTGTCAAAAAAAAGGAAAGAAAAGCCTCAGATTCATACAATTAGGAACGAAAAAGATGAAGTCACAACAGATCCAGCAGAAATCCAGAGGATCGTCAATACCTACTTCAAGAATCTGTACTCTAATAAAATGGAAAACACAGAAGAAATGGACAGATTTCTTGATAATTATGAATTACCAAAGTTGAAAAAAGAATATAAAAAAATTCTAAACACCCCAATTATAATCAGTGAAATTGAAAATGTAATTAAAAGTTGACCAATGTAGAAAAGCCCAGGTCCTGACGGATTCACTGCCAAATTCTACAAGGCATTTAGGGAGGAACTATTGCCACTACACTTTATACTTTTCAATGAAATTGAAAGGGAAGTAATACTTCCAAAGATGTAAATATTTAAAAAGAAACACTAAACTTGCTGGAAGATAAGTTAGGCAGAACTCTCAAAGACATTTGCATAGGGAAAGACTTTATGAACAAATCCTGAATAGCACAGGAACTAGCACAAAGAATCAACAACTAGGATCTCCTATTATTAAAAAGCTTCTGCATTGCAAAAGAAACCACCAACAGAGGTAAGAGACAACCTACAATGTAGGAAAAAATTTTCACCTGCTGCTCCTCAAAGGACTGCAAAAAAATCAGGCCCCCCAAATATAAAGACCCAATTCA